TTTAAGTTGAAATATCGTAATTGCAATATGTATGCGATTAGTAATGCTCATCACTGCAGACATTCAGAAAATATTGTTTAATTGGTTTATTAGAATATCTTTGTAACATAATGAAAAAACATTTATTATACATACCAATGGAATATTCATGTAACATAAAAATGTAACAACTCAACAATATTTCCAAATAACAAACAAATATAAAATTTAAGGAATAAAAACGCAAAAAAATGTGACTGTATCTGAATACGCCGTCGGGTATCGAACCCGAGACCCTAACCTACACATTAACCTATTTCACCTAACATCTTATCCACTAGAGTACCTACCTAACTGATGAAGTATAACGTTTCTTAGACATATAAATTATCAAATTTTTTTTTAAATTATATATATTTATACAGTAATACCTCGAAATATGTATATAGAATCTGCTGCTGGTTTCGTGCCAGGAGGACCTTTGGATCTTTTATTATTTCGCACGTGAATATGAGGTACAGCGAAGTTCAAGAATTTATTTCTTATTTAAGAACTTTATTTACGATGAGCTTATTGGTGAACTCTAGACCAACCTAACCGTGTCCTCCTCACCATTGAAAATTCGAAAGAATCATCTAACGACGATTAATCTTATTAAATTAATAATGTAACATTAATGAATATAATACACATATTCAATATTAATAATACTTCATTATTCTTCGGTCTAACGATGAGTGGATTTAATAAACTGCAGTGTTTGCGCGTAATACAAGACGACATTGTATCTGCAGAACCCATATATAATATTATAATGTATACCTATATAATGACGTCGGCGTCGCTTAACTTTACTCTAAATAAAACGATACATTAATTATATTATAAATATGGGTAGCCGCGGCCAAGATGGTAAAACAACAATACGTATAATAAATAAGGATATAAAGTTTTTTTTTCAATTTAATAAACTCTTCATTCATTAAGCTGTCGATGATTTACGAGTTCTAAAAACCGCGTGTTACGTATTATAATACCACGACTTCAACTATATTATTGTATGCTACAACTGCAGTGTATTATAAAACGCGCCTTATTATTATAATATATGTGTACGGGGCGATATACGTTCATTAAGAACCGACAACTAACTCTATTAATTTTAAGTAAATTAAAAAAAAATTTTTTATTTTTTTTTTTCGCAAACACAATATAATATAATATAGTACGGGTACCTATGTCTATTATTTACAACATTTTCGGAATTTTAACACATATCAATACCGCAGATTAATTCAGTGCTTGGACTAAGTCCTGGCAGCTCTTCCATTTTCGTATATATATTTATACAGATGAATGCCACTTATTAATTTAATTGACCCAGGAATGTTATGACTTTTAAAAAACAGAACAATTTAAATAAAAATAGCAATGATCAAAGTACTCATTTGTTTTTGTCTTTATGTACAATCAAAAATAATCATAAGTTATAATCACTTCCAATGTCACTACAGGTCTCATTTAGTAGACTTCAAATATTATCCAAAAAGTTCGTATCACTTACGCATAAGCTCTTAGAAGGGCCGTGTTTGCAATACATTTTAAATTCTAAGCGGACCGAGATATGTATTGGTTTAACAATAATGATGTAAATTTTAATTTTTTTTTTTTACCTGTAGACAACTTTTTCACCCGAAATTTTGCTCCAGATTTCAATAGTGTAGCTTTCTGAAAAGAAATTGTTGTGGTGTGGTACTGTAAGGAAGTAATTTTTTGATTTTTCTAGCAGTTTTCGTGATAAATGGAAAATGCCTGAAAAGACATAAGAAAAACGAGAAAATATACGAAACGTATTATTTTCAAATCGTAAATATTACGGCCTTTCAAAAAATATGTAAACGAATTTCGCTCAGAATTGTTTTCGTTATCAACGATTAACCGTTGCGTAAAGATATACATTAAATTTCCCCTCTATACATGCTCAACTTCTCACCAACAACAGTGGCCTACCCACCGTGCGAAGTAGATCCGTTCGGTTTTTTAAATGTAGACGCACAAAATAAAATTACGTAATAAATTACGCTCGGTGTTATGTGGTAAAATAACCTACAGTACCTAAACACAGCTGATTTTAACACACTATTTATCTGTTAGCTGTTTATTTAGTTCAAATAAGGTACCTACAATCGAATGTTTTATTTCAAGTGATAAGAACGAAATGTGTAAAATAATAATCAGAGCGGTGTCTCATACCTATAAATAGGTATCGCGCGTCTCTAGTTAATACACGCACGAGAAAAATGTATTTTGAATTTTTTCGTTATACCTGGAGGGAAAACCGTTTCCCGGTTTGTTAGTTTTCTGAAAAATGCGACGTCCGTTGGGAACGCGTGAATTTCGATCCTATAGCTGGCCTACCTACTCGTAGACGTTTATGGGATTAAGTAGGCAATCGAATTCAAATCTACTGTAAATCTTCGTATTGCGCATAGACACACGACCTACGTGTATTATAATATATATTCATCAGTCCGCGGTTAAATGTTCACCTCTGTACGCACATTATTGTTACAGGTATACCTGGCACAATCGGTAATATTATAATATAATTAAAAAAAAAAAGAAAAAAAGAAAAAGTAAATTGGTATTTTAGAAGCCGCGTTTGAAAAAAAAATACGCACGCTAGCCGTAGAGATGAATCGTTTTGTAAATGTATACGTACACATTCTGTAGAACAATCGTATTGTGCATCAGAGTAAAATTTTATCATATTTTTTCATTTAGCGATTAAGACATTGTATTATTGTACTGGATCGGTGCGCGGACCGTGGGTCGTACAGCCGAGTATATCGTACAGTTAACTACAATACGCCATGTGTATGCATATCAATTGCGCACGCATAAATACGCGAAATATTATAGATATACGAATATCGAACCGCCGATTAACCACTGCAGCAACAGGCCGCTCGCACAAAACACGTTTTATTTTTATTTTTTATTTTCTCTTGTACAGTACAATAATATTGACGCCGATACGTTACGCGCGCGGCCCGAACTTCTCGGCTCGTATTCGACGATGACGGAACGTAATACTCTGTACGTTAATTTTCTCGTATTCGGACTGTCTGCGTACAATCCGCGGCTGAATAATAACAATATGTACATGCATGTATACCGTAAATGTACGCGGTCCTGCGTAAACGTCATTTCTAAACCTAGAAATGTATGCAATAAAGCCTGAACGATTACGTTCCCTTGGATATTACACGGGTGTCCCTTGTATATTGAATATTGTATTCTAAATGTACACCGTGTGACACGTTTATACGCCGAATGCGTGTTCTGAAAACCCCTGTGCGAATGTTCTGTCGACTGTTTATTTTTTTTTTTTCGATTTATATTGTATTATATATCGCGTATATCATTCCGAATTAAACGACAGATATTTGTTTTTGTTAAATATATTTCCCGGGGCCATTTTTCCCACGTACAATATTAGATAAGTAATAATACCGTGACACGAATAGAACAATTTTTTTTTTTTTTTCACTCCAATATCGTCCGTGTGTAATATAATATTTGTCCGTATAATAGGCATATAAAAATCGGCGCCCGCCGTATATCCATCATTGCAATACAGGCCAATAGATGTTTACGTTGTCCGAGTCGTTTTATATTTATTTTGATAATTTTATTATATTTCCCTTTTGTTTTGTTTTTTTGGGGGGTGTTTTTACTTTCCAAATTATTATTGACGCCGCAGTACTCTATAGCGTTTTATAATTTTCCGATACGTTTGTGTACCATACGGAATTTTACTAAATTAACACGGACAATAATACATTATGTTTTCGTGCTGGGCGTCCATTTGAAATTAACGTCGTTAATTATGTATAGATACGGGCAATTCAACAATCAAACAGAATTTTCTTTTTTTTCTTTGTCCTAGTAGATTCTACTAGATTAAATTCGCAGTTGGGAATAATAATTATATCTAAACAAAGAGAGAAAAAAAAACCCCCCGAGAATTCTGCCGGCCACGGCGCCCCCCGAATCCGTTACGCGCCTAGGCCATAGCTCGGTCCTGAATTCGGCCCCGTGTACAATATGTACGTATGTACCAGTAGATTTTGCACCGACAGCCGTCTCGCGACACACCGCGAAAGCGGAAATGAGGGACGGAGTGGGAAAACGTCTAGACGGGGCCGAGGGAAAGGACCGGCGGTGAAGACGTTTTTTGAAATTGACGCGGTTACGATTTGGCCCGTTTTCTAAGCCCGAAAACGCATCCGCGCGGATCCTGCGCAATAATAATAATACGACGTTCGTCCGTGCAGCGGAGACATTTTCTTTTTTTCTGTTTTTCGCGGCCGCGACCGCCGCACGGTTTGATCAGCCGCGGTGAGACCGGCGCGATTTTCGGGAACGTACGCGTTTGCGGCACAGGTACGCATTGCAATAATACACGTACGCGCATTATAATAATACACCGGGGCGTTCGCGGCGTAATATTATGCACGAAATGTGTACGTATGTACACGGAGGGCAGACACGCCGGACGCACGCACGCTACGCGGGCAGGCGGGCCGCCGGCGGTGGCGTCACGGCGGCCGTGGCAGAAAGAACGGACGACGACGATAATCATAATAATAATAATAATAATAATGATATTCAGGGGCGTCGTCACGGCGGCCGCGGCGGTGACACGGCGGACGGGGGCCGGCCGACGCTCCACCCATCCGGCGGCCAGCGACAAATGACATTGGTCGGACCGGGCCGACCGGCGGGAGCGTGGGGACACCGCCGCCGTCACAACGACACCGCACGACGACGACGACGACGACGACGACGACGACGACGACGCGGACACACGGTCGACGCCGCGCCGCCGCCTCATCGTTTCGTCGTACGCCACACGGCCCACACGACGTTGTCCGTTTTGCGTGTGCGTGTGTATGCGTGTGCGTGTGTGTGTGAGTTTGTCAGCAGCCGCCACCGCCACCGCCTTCGGCCGCGCGCAGCAGTCACACTGGGTTTCAGTACGCGGTCCGCCGTCTGTTGTGTTCGGCCGTACGTCGTGTAACACCGCGTCGCCGTCGCCGCCGCTACTGTCGCGCCGCACGACGCCGTCCGGTTTTCAATAATATTTTCCCTCGATACGCGTGTCCGTACACCGGAGTTTCGTCCGGTTTTCATTTAATTCGTCGGGTTTTTTTTTTTTTTAAATTTTTATTTTCATTGTTATTTTTTTTTTTTGTGTTCGGGTTTTTTTTTTTTTAACCGTTTCGCGCGTGTGCCGGTGTTACGCGCGCCCATGAGAATATTTCACGAACCGTCGTCGTCGGCATGTGTCGCGCGAAATAAGGATTTCCGTTTTGCGGTCGGGGTTATTATTTTTCGTTCCGTTTCTGTTCTCGCGGTCAATACGCCGCGATCGTAAACGGTAACCGTCGCGTATCCGTGACATTCTGTCGACAGATTATAATATCCAACAGTCGCTGTACCGCACACGCCGCGCGCGGGCGTACACAACAGTATTTTCATCACGCACAATATAATTCCGGTGTCGCTCGTCCCGATTTACTACGAAACAAATTACTGACTGATTTTTGATGGTTATACACGGAGCCGCCGCGGGAATCGTTCCAGCCGACGTTCATCGGACCACAGAATCGTTTTTCAATACCGGTCAGTACCTATGCGTCACAATGTATACGCCTATATATTTATATAAATATAACGTCGAAAACCGTACGGTGTAACCGAAAAAAAAAAAGAAAAAAAAAAAACGTAGAACCGATTTCGCGCCGTTCGTTTCGACGACACAACGTGAATCCGGCTTACCGTCCGCCAAACTCTCGCGAGAACGCATTTTGCGTGTTTGCGCGATCGGTTTTGTTTTGTTTTTTTTTTTTCCTCGATATTTCAATACGATTGTACACGGGGAAAAACCGGCGTTGCGAACACGACGCGTGCTCGCGCCTATTATTATACGTTTGACAACAAGCCCGATTCGCTGTACCGTGCGCTTATCCGAACGGTGACGGATTTAAAGAGTAGAGTTCCCCCCCCCCTCCAACCACCCGTCCATTGGCCTGAGTGAAGTCTTATTAATTCAATAGTATCAGTACGCGTAACGTGTCGCATGTCATTGAATTTTGGACAATGGCCCCCGGCCCCCCACACCCCAGAATTAAATCCAGGATCCGCCGCTGTTATAGACGAACGGCGCGAGATCAATCGGTTCTGCCAATATCCCGGGAACTCCGACGTCGTCCGCCGCAACCCGCCCGAGTTTCGTCGTTTCGTCGTTTCGAGACCGCACGTAACATCGTACCTACCGTTTCGTACGGTTATACCGGTGAGCGTGGGTAAAACGCGCTTTTTTTTTTTTTTTTTTTTTCTGACGGCCAGAACACCGGCCTCCGGAATCGCACGCCTGCGTCGCAGCTAATCGGCCGAAACTCGAATTATATTATAAAATATCGATCCGCGAGACCGTATGTGTGCATCCGTATAGGGACCGCGTGCCGGTGTACGCGACGCTGCCCGGAGGCGCGCGTACAGTAAATACCTGTACAACAGTTCTGGTTTGAATTTCAAAAAAAAAAAAAAAATTTAATAAAAAACTACGACGGACGCGTTTCGTGTAGGACGCGCGCGGGCAACGCGTGTAACGACGACGTCTCGACGTCTCGTGGTGGGGGGGAGGGGCGGAAACCACTTTCAAACTCCGCCGGTTTATCAGACGCCGTTTAATGTGTCATTTATAAATAAATATTTTCTCCTCCGCCGATTGTACGGACAAGTGTCCAACGCGCATTCATATTTTGACACGACTTGTACGGGTGCGCGCCTTTTTCCGAACGCTATCACTCCGGCCGGTAGATACCGATGTATAACACTAATAACACTCTCGTACACACGCACGGCCTGCGGAAATCCGTTTTAGATATGTATGTTATTATTTTTTAAAAAAAAAAAAATATCTACATTCTACCCGTTCGTCGTTTTTCATCCGCAAACTGCGGTGGCTCGCGGTATACGCACCCGAACAGTATCCTTTTACAATGAAACGCGCAGATTTTCCGGACCGCACGTGTCCGACGTACGACTACGATGATTGTAAACATCGTCTTTCGGATGTTTTAAATCGATTTTCGGCATTTCCATTGGGAATTTGTCTCGTACAATCCGTTCCGTTACGCGCATCTTCCAGTGCGGCGCTGCAGTTTCGTAGACACTGCAAATCATTTTGCCGTCCGAAGTCGTCACTAGACATTCGTGTTGGGCCGTTGTTGACGATGATTTTCAAAACGCTCATAGTTCGCCGGCCGCGCCGAAAACCACGCGAGATCGACTTTCGGCCCTCCCCTCACCCCCCACCCACCCAAAAGCTTATTCTGCCCCGGGGCCGAAGAAGACGCCGCCGCCATGCGCGTATGCGAATTTCCGAACGGACGCGTATCTAAAAAAAAATTTTCCGGCTTTCGGGTGCGTGACGTGTAGACCGTACCCACGCGCGCGTACGATACGCGCACTGCGACCGAAACGCCGGATTCGATTGCGTGTTAAATAATAATTTCCGCGAGATTTAGACGTTCGGTGTACGCATACATTATTAAAAAAAACTGCGCGTTACGAACGCGAAAAAATGTCCGCTGTGCGATACCGACGTTTTGTTAATCGTTTATTGCAACGCGTATTATTATGCGGGAATAATAACACGTAGCGGCGTTAAGTGGGCATAATATTTTCGTGATAAACGAAATAGGCGCGATTGTGTATGTGCGTGTGTATTTTCATTTTCATTATTTTTTTTTTCTCAATCGTGAAGTTAAAAGTTTGGTGATTGAAAATTTAACGGCGGCACAAACATACGGGCGTGTTACTATCGCGCCGCTTAAACGGGCAAAAGGAAACTCTACGGATTCGTTCGGTTATTCGCACGAAAACCGCGTCGTCTCGTCGTCGTCGTATTGGGCCCGTATAAAAGTCGCATACACGCGTGTTGTTTACAAGAAAAACAACCGCGTTAACCGTTACGGTCCACACGAATCGCGCGTACCCGTACTTGTACCCGGCGTGCGCCTAATGCGAAAACGGATCCGCTGTCGGCAATATACACGCGTGTATATTACCGGCGATTTTCCGCGCGGAGCGCCGGATCGCCATAAACCCGTGGTCCGGTGTAGCTCGTTTGCGCGCGCGTACACGTGTATCTGGTGCTAAAATATCCCGATCGGAGCATCGCGATTTTCGCGTTCGCGTTCTCGCGCAACGTTATCCGTACGGGTTTTCCAGATAATTGTCCAGCCGCACATCCCGGGTACGGTTTATTGGAACGGCACGACTGCGTGAAACGTTTCGCGGATGCATTACGTTTATTATCATCCGCGGATTCTCCGCAGTGTTTGCGGACCGTACCGATTATACAGTCGATGTTTATCGGAACATCAATCGGCGCGTATTGTGTTTTTTTTTTTTTTTTTTTTTTTTTTTTCATTATCCGCGCGTGCGTATTTAAAAGAAGCGAACCCCCCCCCCTCCCCCGAGCGTTTGAGCCCCCGGTGAAAAATTAGCGTACGCTGTACTGAAATGAATATATTTATATTTCAGCGCATTTCTCACTTAATCCACGGCTCTGTTTTTGCGCGCGCACACACACATTACGCATGCACACAATATATACGTACTAAAACACCGTGTACTTAAAGTAATATAATGCCGGTTTTTTCTTTTTAAATTCCAGTGAAAGTATGCCCGTATACACTGTACTTAGTTCGTAGAAAAAAAAAAAAAAAAACAATACTAATTTCTTCTTTTTAAGGAATAATTTTCGCGGTCCGTACGCAGGTAGGTGTACATGCAATTTAGAAAAAAACGCCGAAATGTTACGCGTTCGTACACGATGAAAAAAGATGGACTAAACGAGTAGTATGCGTATAAAACTGTCATGCATGATAATATATAAACATCGTATTTAGGCAGCGGGTATAATCAGTGGTGTTCCCATAAATTTGTTTGAGAGCATATATACGTACACGACTTCCTGCGCCTTACGTGGGATATTTCATACTATTCTTACAGTTTGTATATACTGCACGTGTGCACTATTTATCGGTACAAGGAAATTAAAATAAAACGTTGGAATTTATGAAAAAAAAAAAAAACACTAAACAATAATAAGAAAATTGCGAATTATTTTTTAGTATTATAATTACAGAAATGTACCATAAAATATTGAAATTTTATTATTATTAAACTTGTACGGTTTAAGCGACGTGATAGCGATACGAACCGGCGAAATGATGATAATATGCCTATATATATATATATAGCTTCATGACGAATTTTCTTGAAAAAAAAAAAAAAAATATTTTTTACTATACACGGTTTGTGTACATAGTATAGCATGCCCTATGAAAACGCCGTCGGGTAAACATGATGTAATTGAATCGGGAATGGGAATGCGTAATAGAGATATCGATGGCGGAAAGGCCAAGCGACGAATAACCCTATAGACGTTATCATAATCTAAAGAACTGATAACGATAAGACTCGTGTAAATACACGTTTTCATTTTATTTTTTTTTTTTTTATCAAGTACCTAATGTAACCGCGGTCGAATCATTTGTTTCCCATACGCCACGTACACAATTGTCGTTAGTTTAAGAACGTTCAGTGGTGGGTAATTCCCCCCCCAATAATAGCGACGTGATAATATTATAATAGTTATTTCCCCGGATTACACACGATAACCCGAAGTAATAATATTATATTGTGTGTAGTCCATTGTTTCGTAAGGCGAAAATGTTAATTAAACTTCAAGTACATACATACATATATATATAGGCGCGCGCCTAATACGTATATAATAATAACATAAACGCACAAATCCGAAAAAGCTCGTTTCGAATAAAACATTTATTACGGTTGTTATAAATAGCCGTATACGAACAGGAATGTACATAATATCGCGCCCTACCCCCCCCCTCCGGAAGAACGACGACACGATTCGGAAAAATACGATTTTCCAGTCGTTATCGAAACAAATTACGTTCTCGTTTCTTTTTCGAAATAATTCGGTGTAAACGCTTTTGTTGCGGGTTCGTTTCACGTTTTTTTCGTTTTAACATCCAAGACGGTATATAATGTTATACGCGAGTTCAATATCGTCTCGGCGGTTTCGTGTTTGAAATGAGAACGTACCGTATAGTTTTC